AGTTTTATATTTTTATTTTATATGTGGCTTTTCTTATTTCGATTTTTGTTTCAAAGAACTTGGAACCGAATATAATCGAAAGAAAATTGTCATGAATCTTCCTAATAAAAATAAACACATACCAACAATAACCCAAAAAACTTTGACTCATCTCTGGATGACATAAGGTTAACCATTTATGAAAAACATGTTTTGGTCTTGTGAGCGATTTCACATCAAATGTACAATATATTTGGAAAAATACAATTTAGTTATTGTTGATAATCATACATAGATTGTCTTATTCAATTTATTTAGAAACAGATTTGTTTCCAATCCACTCATTTTCAAGATCAATGATTTCGAAAAGAAAATTAAAATAGAGAAATAAATTTTTGTTCAAACGAAATGATAACAATGTAATATATTTGTTTCTTTTTTTCTTTTGTCATTATTTCATTTTCATTTATAATTAATGACTTTTTCATCACAATGTCATCGTACAACAATGAACTGTGACCGTCGACGACAACAATAAAAATGATCATCATTGACGTACCCCCTCAAAATCCGTCCTGTACCTCGTCGTGGTGTGGGGGCGAACATCTGAGTAGGGGAATGCTCGTCGAGGCTATGCCATCAGTGATGAAAGCTCCGGCTGAAGAATCACCTAGGGCGCTACGCGAGATGGGCAGGCTCAACGAGAACCCTGAAAACGATGGCCAACACAGGCGGTGACCGGGTGGCCGGTCTAGAGCGAACATGAAGATCTTCTTCATAAACGGTCAGCCACCTTACCTGCGTTCTCCCGGCAAGGAACCAGAGAAATTCTCTGCCTACGTAATTCACTATGAGACGAAACCAAAATACTGTCATGACTAACGACGTAAACGGATCCCAATCATCAAGAGTGGGACCCGCGTCCGGCAGGGTCAGAAGTAAGGCCGACTCGGTCGTCATCAGGCGAAATCCTTACACTTCTTACAACTCTCAAGCAAAATGTTTTTCGTCCAAGAAACTATTTCGTGTTGGTACATGGAACATAAGAACACTACTAGAGACAGGAGCAGCTACCATCCTCGTCTTAGAACTAGAAAAAGCAAGACTCAACATGATGGCTCTCCAAGAAGTACGCTGGCCTGATATCGGTGAAATAACATGCGGCTCTTATACAATTTTATGGTCCGGTCCAAATGTTGGTGCTCCACGGTCTGCAGGAGTGGCTCTCGCACTCGATCAGACCGCCGTTGCGTCTATGATCTCATGGCACCCAATCAATGAAAGACTGTTGACGGCCAGATTCAAACACAACTTCGGCTTTCTCTCATTAATAGTAGCCTACGCCCCCACGAATGAGGTGAGCGACATTGACAAAGATGCCTTCTATCAACAAATTGAACAAGCAATGAAAATGACACATCAAAGCGACCTTATCATTTGTCTTGGTGACTTCAATGCTGTTACGGGAAAGTCAAGAATCAATATGGAACACGTCATTGGCCCGTATGGAAGTGGCACCCCAAACGACAACTCCGAGAGGCTACTGAACTTCTGTTTGGGAGCTGGCTTAAGAATCGGTGGTTCATGGTTCAAGCGTAAGGATATACACAGGCACACATGGTTCTCAAACGACGGAGTGACCGTCAAGGAAATCGACCACATTCTGGTAAACACTAAATGGTCTGCCTTGCAAAATTGCCGCGTCTATCGTAGTCTGGAATTCGACACAGACCATCGACCTGTGATCGCTACAATGGCGCTGAGGCTAAAACGCACAAGCAAGAAAAAGTCACTTACATTACGTTATAACGTAAGGAAGCTGGAAGATCCTGCAGTGCAATCTCAATACGCAGTGGAAATAAGCAACCGCTTCGCTGCATTAGCAATTGAAGAGACCTCCAACTGGAACAGATTCAAGGAAACATTAAATGATGTGGCAACAAAGCAATTAGGTATTCGCAAACAAATCAAGAAGCCGTGGGTCAGCGATACCACCCTCACATTGGTTGAGAAAAAGAGACAAGCAAGACTTCTCAACAAACTTGATGAATACAAAAAATTGAACAAGCAATCCAAGACAAATCTAAAACTGGATCGACAACAATGGGCTGACAACATAGCGAGAGACGGTCAGGCGGCACTCATCGCAGGTGAAGTGAGGGACGCTTTTGCTAACTTTCGACGCTTAGCTAAGGCCACCAGGCCTGTCTCTAGCCCAATCCTCGACGCAAACGGCAATCTGATCAGCGACAAATCACAAAAAGTGGAATGCTGGCGTAGCTATTACGCTGAACTTTTCAACCGACCCAACGCACCCGACTCTGAGGAACTGACTACCGCTGCCCAATCGGCCATCGAAGACCCAACCATCAATTGCAGCGAACCAACAACGAAGGAAGTTATCAACTGTTTAAACAAAATGAAAAACGGCAAAGCACCAGGCATTTGCAATATCACCCCGGAGATGATGAAAGCTGGAGGTGTCGACTGTAGTATCTGGCTAACCAATATCTACCAGGATGTCTGGCGTTCCGGAGTCATTCCTTCGGATTGGAAAAAAGGCATTATTCTACCATTCTATAAAGGAAAAGGTAACAGGCAGGAGTGTAAAAACTACAGAGGCATCACATTACTGTCCTGCCCCGGCAAACTGTTTGCACGAATTCTATTGTCAAGAGTGAAGAACTTGCTTTTGGCCAAGCGCAGGAACGAGCAAAGTGGCTACACACCAGGCCGATCAACGGTGGACAGAATCTTCACATTACTCACACTGCTTCAAACACGGCGCGAATACAACCGCTCACTCTGGATTGCCTACGTTGATCTCAAAGCAGCATTCGACTCGATCAATCGCAACGCTCTTTGGCTTATATTGACAAGTCTCGGCGTTCCCAAGAAAATCGTTGACCTAATGAGGGAACTGTATTCTGACATATTTAGCTGCGTTCGCGTCGACGGCCAACTATCCGACTGGTTTGAAGTCAAAAGCGGTGTTCGCCAAGGCTGCACAATTGCCCCGGATCTGTTTCTAGCACCAATGGACTGGCTGCTCCAACGAACCGTACACCGAGGGTTGCTCGGCGCTACACTGGGTAACGAAGTATTCACTGATTTGGACTTTGCGGACGATGTAGCACTTCTAGCCGAGACTGTGGAAGCACTTCTGCTGGCATTGGAGGTCATGCAGCACGAAGCTCGCCCGCTTGGCTTAGAAATCAACTGGCCAAAGACAAAAATTCAAGAAACCAGAAGCGAAACGACTAACAACAACGCACTATCTGTGGGCAGCCAAAATGTGGAAGTGGTCGACTCATTCGTCTACTTAGGTTGCACGATTAACAAAACAGGCAGCAGCATACCAGAAATCACCAGAAGGATTGCAATCGCTCGAAACTGCATGAAGACCCTGGACAAATCCATCTGGCGCTCAAGCATAGCGCTACAGACCAAAATTCGTCTTTACAACTGCTATATATTACCAGTTCTTCTGTACGGCGCGGAGACCTGGACAATAACTGGCTCGGTCGAGAAAAAATTAGATGCTTTCGACAACTGGTGCCTTAGACGAATTCTCCACATACCATATACGAAACACATCACGAACAAAGAAGTTCGTGAACGCACCGGCCAACCTGAAATTAGCACAGCTATCAAAACTAGACGACTAAGACAATTCGGACAGATAGCCAGGGGCAACCCCCTCTCCGACCACACCAGAGCAATGCAAGGAAATATTAATGGACCACTAAGTGGATGGAAATGCCCTCGTGGCAGACCACGCCACACGTGGATCCGCTCCGGCGAAGACGACCTGCGTCCATTCAATCTAGGTCTTTTCTCCGCCTGGAAAAAAGCTCAAGACAGACAAAAATGGCGTAGTCTTGTAGCGAAAGCAACGTCCAGTAGGATACGCTACAGATGATGATGATCATTGACGTATACTTTATGTCTAAAACATATATATCGAATGATTTTCTTCTATGAAATCATTCAATACAATTCAATACTCTATCATCATAATATTGAAGAAGTATTCTAATAATTTTTTTGTTTTTTACATGGGGTGCAAGAAATATTTATTTAAATGAAATTATTATGAGTCTATGGGCTTTTTTATTTCAAACTGAATTCTAAAATCAAAAAAACCACGCCAATTTCTTCCGAATCAAACTTTTCTCGCTTGAAACTACGTAGTCTCACCAAAAACCCTTAGTCCCCCCTAGTCCTGCAAAGTCCCCCTTAGTCCCTCCCACAAAAAGCTTAGTCCCCCCTTAGTCCCTTTTCAGGGGACTAAAGCCTATAGTACACAAAACCACAAGCACAGCCTCACCCTCACTCACGCGCCCACACCCGCACCATGGGTGTGGGTGTGTGTGTGGGTCCCAGACCGACACCCACACCCTCAGTCACCCCCCCCTCACTCCTAGACTCACGTTTCAGTTTGAAATCAAGTATTATTTTTATTTGATAAATTCAGACTGAAATTAAATAGCCCATAGTATGATTATTATATACATAACGTTATGTCAATGACATATATATATTATTATTTATATTTTATATTTCAATCATTAATAAACTATGTTGCTTATATTTTTTTTTCTCTTAAGAAGTAGAAGAGAGGGATTGTAAAATTTTCTATCCTGAAAAGTTCTGGTGGCCAATAGAACTTTTCAACATAGAAATTTTTTTTTTCGTGACGAGTTTTATCTGTTTTTTTTTTCTTTTTCTATGACAGCCTGTCAGGTGGCTTCGTAATCTGACCCAGGGAGATTCCTTGTGCCTGTAATGGCGAAAGCAGAGTTGTACTCGGGAACGCCTTTCTGTTCGTAGGTCCCTGTCGTCTTTATGTACGTCATACCTACGATCATGCCCTATCAGCTCGCTCTGCGTGTACCCATTTCAGGCTTACAGAGCCACTCCCTGGTCGCGCGCGTACGCGAAAATGAGCCGAAAAACAAACCGAAAAAGGAAATGAATAGCAATCGAAATGAATTTATTGAGCAAACAAAAAGAATAAATTACATTTTCTTTCGAATTTTTTCAAATGTTTCTTTATAGTCTGAAAGATGAGGATGAGTTGAAGGTAATTTTTCTTGTGCAATTTCTATTGTTTGTTGAATATTTTTCATTGCCATATTATATTGTCGAGTAGATAAATATAATTTTGCCATATTGTGATATACAACAGCTAAATCAGGATGATCTTTTGGTAATTTCTTCTGACGTATTTCTAATCCTTTTTGAAAATATGTCAATGCTGTTGTATAATCTTTCATTTCTCGATAAGTTTCACCTAAATTGATATACGTTAATGCACATTCGAGAGGATTACATTGAACATTTTCTTGAATATTTAATGCTTTTCGATGAAATAACAATGCCTTTTCATAATCTCCCATTAATCGATGAACATCACCAATATTACTGTGTGTAATAGCTAGATTAGGATGTCCTTCAGGTAATGCTTTTTTCAATATCGAGAGACACTTTTCGAAATTCTCAAGTGCTCTTGGATAATCTTTCATACTGCGATAAATCTTTCCAAACCAGTTGTATGGATAAGACAAATCAGGATGATTTGCAGCTAGAGATGTGTGTCTTACTTCAAGGGATTTTTTGTGAGATTCAAGTGCTTTCGAGTAGTCACCCATGTTGTAATACACTTGACCGATGTTGTTGTAGGAAATAGCCAAATCGGGATGACTTGGAGACAGAGCTTTATCTTTTATTTTATGTGCTTTTTCGAAAAATTCAAGTGCTTTCGAGTAGTCACCCATGTTGTTATACACTTGACCGATGTTGTTGTAGACAGCAGCCAAATTGGGATGATTCGGAGGCAGAGCTTTTTCGAATATTTTACGTGCTTTTTCGAAAAATTCAAGTGCTTTCGAGTGGTCACCCATGTTCTTATACACTTGACCGATGTTGTTGTAGGAAGTAGCCAAATTGGGATGGTTCGGAGGCAGAGCTTTTTCTCTTATTTTATGTGCTTTTTCGTAAAATTCCAGTGCTTTCGAGTAGTCACTCATGTTGTTATACACTTCACCGATGTTGTTGTAGGAAATAGCCAAATCTGGATGATTTAGAGCCAGAGCTTTTTCGAATATTTGATGTGCTTTTTCGTAAAATTCCAGTGCCTTTGAGTAGTCACCCATGT